CCGAGTTGGCGAGCCCAGCTAAACTCGGTCGTTGCCTTCCCCCGCCGGCTGTTCGGCCCACTGCTCACCAGACATCTGGGCCTGGGACGCCATGGGCTCCACTGAGCCGGAGACCCCTGCCAGGCGGGGACTTGTCTTCTTCTTTACTGGACACTCCCGAGAGAAATGTCCGCTGCCCCCACAATACCAACATAGATTTAGCCGTTGCCGTCGCGCCTTTTCCGCTGCATCAATTTTGGGGCGCATGGAGCCCAGCTGCATGGGTTCCTCTGCATCGGGCGCAAGAGATGGCGGCGGTCCCAAGCGACGTGGCACTCCCGCATCGGCCCCCTTTTGACCAACTGGCCGGGGCCCGGCAAGGATGTGACGTTGGTTGGTCAGGGTCCCATCTATCCGGATACATAGGGTCATCAATTCTTCCAAGTCGGCTGGGACAGCGGAACGGGCCACCTCCAACTGCATCTCCCGGGTGAGCCCCGCCTTGAAGGCGCTCATGTAGGTGGCATCATTCCAAGCCAGCTCCTGCTGCAATACACGAAACTCCGAGATGTACTGGGCCAAACACCCCTCTCTTTGCGTTAGGGCTCGCAGCTTACGATCCGCCATCTCCCGGTGCACTTGGCCTCCCCAGACTTTGTGCAGTTCATCCATGAAAGCCTTAACAGTGTTGCACACAGGGGAAGCGGCCTCACGTAGCGCGGTGGCCCAGGAGAGGGCCGGGCCCTCCAACAGACTGTAGGCAAAGCCCACCTTGGCTGCTTCATTCGGGAACTCCGCTGCCCGCACGGTGAGGTAGGCATCACACTGCCCCAGGAAGTCCTTGACCCGTTGACTGTCTCCAGAGAACTTGTTGGGCAACGCCATAGGAGTCCTTAGCGGCTGGGCCGGAGGGTTAGCTGCTCCTTGCGCTTGCATCGCGGCTATCTGCTGCTGAAGGTTCTGTAGCTGCTGCTGCATCGCCTGAGCTTCTGCAGGATTCATGGTGGCTGGGAGAAGCAAGGACTTTGTTGTAGGTCAGTTTCAAACTGTTGTATCTCAGGCTAAAATTCACCTTGCTCTCTCTGACAAACCAGCCAAACTTATGAAGAAAGAAGTTTATTGTGAGGTTTCAAACAAATCAGAATATAAGCAGTAAAAAGTCAATAGTACAAGGTAAAAATCCAATAGATTCCCTTTGAGTCAAAGCAGGAAACTTGAAGCAAGAAGCAGCATAAAATCCAGGAAATAGCATGAGGTTACATGAAGCAGGCTTTCTTTCTCAAGGTCCAAGGCCCAGAGCAGGAGACAACGCGAGCCATTTTTGCAACGTTGAAACTGACGCCGAATCAGTTCCCAGGCAGTTTACTTATAGGTAAAACATCAAAACATTGAACATTAAACAGACAGCTAACAAGCAGTTTTCCCACCAACGGATGGGCTCAAGACTTGGCCGCAATTCGTAAACTCCTTCTTAACACCTGCGGCCCAGTCTGACCTTCACCAGCTGTTTTATCAGCCACATTCCGTTCCTGTGATAACAATGGTTTCTCTCTAGCTACAGACTGTGGCTGAGAAAACTGAGAAATCTGAAATCCCACACCTGCATCTGTATTCCCATTCCCATCATGCTCATCTGCACCCTCAGTCCCATCATGCTGTTGCTGCTGAACCACAACACCTGTAATGCCGCTCCTAGACTATAAAGCTCTCTCCAGAGAGGCCTCTTCCCTGTTCTTTTTGCTGTCAGGCAAATAGTTTCCTACTTGAATAGTCTTTCAGTCTTCTAGAAGGAGACGAATGTTCTATTGTTGGGCTTCTTGTCTATGTAGTGAGAGCTTTTTGCATGTTTGATTGTTTTGAAACAATATCTCATGGTAATGTTATAATTAGATTGATTATTAAATGTCTGTATGTTTTAGGAATTTCATTTCAATCAGCACTGCATATAAAGGTCTAACAGATGCAAACCTTAAGTCACATTTTGAGAGAAAGCTGGGACATGAATCAAGCAAATGAAGAAATAAATGATAGCAGGGAATACCCAAAACAATAAGGAATGTCGCTTTGCAGCCTATTTTACCCTGCAGGATTTAAAACAAATCCTGAATGCTCATTTGTCACAGGGGTATTGTGGGGAAATCTAAAGAATGTCTAAAACTGGCTCTTTTGAGACAGCAAGTTCAGAAAACCACTTTTGGGAGTGGGCAGAATAGGACTTCAGCAATGCATCTTACCAAGGATCCCTGGCGGCAGCAGGTGCCAGGTGCTGATGCCAGCCTAGCTATAAAACTATAAGATTATACATATACTTGTGATACCACATAAAGAGGACCCAGAAATACTGAATGCTAACTCCTATATCTCTTGCAAAATATATACTACTGTCCCATTTAGAAAGCAGTTACAATAAGATTCCTACTATGCTGAATATTGCACATTCTTGCTGTAGGGTAACTGATGGCTAAACAATTATGAACTGTGTGAAAAACAAGCTTTTCCAGCAGCTTCTTGCTCTATTATTGAAATGAGGCATTCTTCCCAGCAAACCTTAGCCATAATAGATTCTCTGAGTATGTTATAAAGGTCAGATGGGACTTAAAATTGAATTGCTTTACTGTTTGAAAACCTACCAGCTAAGGTAACAAGCCAAGCTATATTTTCCACTTCACTGCCCTAAATATGAGGATATGCAAGGCAGGCCTTTTCTAATACAGGTGAAGCAGTCAATCAAAAATAATAAGAAAGGGAAAAACATGGCAGGTGAGACGATAACATGAATGTTGACAAGCAACGGTCATTTTAGCGATAAAAGGACAGGGATGACAAAAATAACTTGAGTAACAGTTGCTAGACATAAGGGAGGTAATCTAATGAAAGAAAAATGCATTAAAGTTTAGGGCATTAGAAAAGTTTCCCATGACTGTGTACAATTCTATAAATCTGCTCTAGCACTATATTCACCATCGGATGACCTACTCCCTGGCCCACTATGAAAAATGATGAGACTGGCAAGTACTAGGAACAGGACTTTTTCGGTAGCAACTCTCCCTAGACTGATGAAGCCTTATTTTTGTTGGATATATCTCTCCCTGAAATCCCATTAATTCTAGTTTCTGTTTTTGGTGCTTTAAAATTTCTTTACTGCGGCTACATGGATCTTTCTTTGTGTGAAAGTAATTATATGTTCTTTTTTTGCAACCACATGAGCCATCTTGAGAGAGTAGTGAACCTGAAAGTTGGATCAGAAAAGCAAGTAATCAAATTTGAGGCAAAGCTAGCTATGAGGGGCTCTACTGTGGGACTGTAGTATTTGATTCAACAGTTGGTAGAATCTATCAGCAGTGTTTTATGCTACAGTTGGGTCTCAGCAGTTGCCCGAGGAGCCCATCTTTGTGTTCTGAAGAGTATTTTATTTCGTTTGCAGAGGTTTATCACTGAGCTATAGTAGCCTGTGTGCAGATGACACAGTGATCCAAGGAATCCTTCTGTGGATCAAATAGTTTATGACTTCAGGTATGCAGTTGCTTTCCATCTACATCCTCCCAACTATTTATAGGTTGGAAAAGAACAGAAGAAACATACAGAGAAAATTGAAATCGCAAAATCAACCCATCTCTGTAAACAGAGATGGCATTTGCTTCAAACACAGCAGCATTTCTAACATATCCTTTGGCTAGAGAAAGATGCCATTGTAAACTTTGAATGCTGGGTAGCTGCTACTTACAATGAATTCATCAGTTGCTCCTGGTTGAAAATGCACATATCCCAAGCTTTGTGAAGAAAGGAGAAGTTCATCACTTTTGCCCTTTGAGCCATAAATTACAAGGGTTCTCTTACACTCTCCAGGCTCCGGGGAATCATGGGCAGTCTTAACCCGCACTCTCCATTTCCCTGTGAAATGAGAATAAAGCAACCAATACAAAATTATATAGAGAAGACATGGGAGAAAAATGTTAAGACCTTATTTGCATGCTTCTGACTACAACACATATCAACTTGGTAAGAGGATAGCATAGTCATTTTGAAGCTCTGTGCTCATAGACTGAGGGATATTATAGCATCCACTGAGGGATGGTGAAAGATAACATTATATACAGAGTTAAGTCGATGCATAATAGGAACATTTTGACAAATTAAATATTTTAAAATGTATTATTTGTTCTCTGTTGTGTCCTATGACATAAACAAGCCATTTGGCTTAATTACTAATCGTATAATCTTTATTTTTCATCTCCATGTTATGTGTTTTTATTATTGTTTGTTCATTCTCACATTCTATCCTTTCTCCCCACCTCAACTTCCTTCTTTAAATTGTTCAGCATGACTGTTCTATCTTGTCCTCCACTCCCACATAAATCTTTTTCTGTCAAAAAAAATTCTGAAATGCAAACAAGTGGAAGAGCGAACAGTCATGCAGGTCACCAAAGAACGTCACACCAACTCTTTCAGGGGAGGCAGGTCAGAATATAGATAACTTTTGGGATATTCAGTTCTGCTGATTCAGATATCCAATATGTGTCAGTTCCTGTAATAACCCAGTCTCATTGGTCCTGACTGGAGACTAAGCTTTCAATCAATCTAGGACTAGGAACAAGGCAAAATGTAATTCCAAGTTATTTTCCTGGGTGTTTTTGTAGCAAGGGTAATTGCTTTAACAGGTTTCACTACAGTTTGTATGGAATATTATATGATGACTTAATATACATTTTAAAACCTAAATGGAATGTTCAGAAGCCACCACTGCTTATGTTGCAAAATAGGAAACATCCCCAAGTTTTGGCATTTTTCTTCCTCTTCTATTACCAAAAGGTCTGCAATTGAATGAATCTGTGTGTTTTCACTCATCCTCCTACCCATAGCATTCTAGCTAACAGATGTCAATCTTAACAAAAAAAATAGGGTTGTAATTTTGTGCTTAAAGAAAACAAGTAATTTCTTCAATACAAGAAAATCTGTGAAACGTTGACAGTTTTCCAAGGCTTTTCACCATTTGGGACTTATTCTGCCAAAAATTTGCACATGGCATTTTGCTAATAATGATTTTCTGAGTACAAATGAATCAACTTTTTCTTCCATATATTTGAACACTTGACACCCTTCCCCCTACTTGTGCTGGTCCACAATTGAAAGAAACTCCTGCTTTCCTGTGAAAGCAGTGTAGCTTCTTTTTAAAAAAAATCATAGAGTTTTCCAGAGGCCACACAGCGTTCCCTGAACTCTACACAGCTTTTCTTTTTTTTTTTTTTGCGTAGAATGGAAATTCTCTCTGACAGATCCATTTCCAAGTGTGCATTAGTGCTCCTTATATCACAAAAAGGACCATGTGGTAATTTCTTCCAGTGGTGTATGGTCATTATTTGAAACAGTTATAACAAATAATGAAGCCATCTGTATAAATATGTGAAAGGATGTCATAAGGAAGAGGGACAAGGACAGCTTTCTGCTGCCCTGGAAACTAGAACTCAGAACAATGGTTTCAAATTGCAGGGAAAGAGATTCCACTTGAACATTAGGAAGAACTTCCTGACTGTGAGAACTGTTCAACAGTGGAATTCTCTGCCTTGGAGTGTTCTTTCCTTGGAAGCTTTTAAACAGAGACTGGATGGCCATCTAACACGGGTACTTTGTGCTTTTCCTGTATGGTTGTTGGGGTTGTGGTCTCTTCCAACTCTATAATTCTATGAAACAGAAATGTGACTCACTGGCTGGAGAAACCCAGCAGATCCAGAGCATAGATGTGCATAAAGTTGTTGTTCTCAGTAACTGCAGTGCTTAAGTTAGCACTATTTTAGATACTTTCAGAGAATGACTTACCCTTGGTATCCACCAGTGATGTACTCCCATTCTCTAAAAATAGAACAAAACAAAAATAATCTTTTTTCTTTTACCAAAAGATTCTTAATTCTTAAATTGATTTTGCTATTTATTATTTATGTATTTATTTTAAATCCCACCCTTCCCCCAGCATAACATTCAAGGTGATTCATAGCCATTTGAAAACATTTTGAAACTGAAAAAAACTATTAATACAAAAGTTAAAACAAAACTACATTTAAGTTTTATTTTAAAAACACAAATTAAAGTACATTTAAAGCATAATAGAACAAAAGACAAAGTACCACCCCTTTGATATGCTGCATGTTGAAAATCAAGTATCTCCTTAAACTGAAGGACTGAAGCCAACCAGACCTCCCAAGGGCACTTGGTGAGACAGCAGCACTTTTGCACAGAGAAGACTAAAGACCTTTTAAAATTACAACCTCATGATTCCATAGCATTGAGCCATTTCTGTTAAAGTGCTGTAAAACTACATTTTTTTACATTGGCATGTGATGAACATTAAGGGCTTTCTTTTGGACTTTCCCCTAACTTTGCTTATCTTTATTTGAAAAGCTTGTCAGGAGCAACTTGAGAAACGGCACATTACAGCACGCTTTCTTTATATGCATTATGTAGCCTCTACACTTTGAAGCTGCCTTCAATCTATATTAAATGGCCTGTGCGGATGGAACCCAAGTCTACAAATCTGGGGAACTAGCCAACAAATGTTTAGGATAGCAGCTTCATTCTCTCAATTAGTCTCTAAGATGCTGCAAGATCCCTTTACATAGGAAGATATGGTTTTTCAGATAACATGGAGTCAAGCTGCATATGGCTTTAAAGTTCATAATGAGTACTAAGTATTTGGTACTTAGGGCAGAATTATAGCACATGCAATCTTTATTTTCAGTACTTACTTATATCAATTAATTCTCTCTCTGTCTTTCCATCATCTTGGTATGCATCTAGCCATCTTTCATTGTGGAAAAAAGTAATTAAAGTAAGGTCAGTTAATAATTACACTTAGGAGATTGTCACATTATGCAACCACATGTACAATGTTATTGTATATCAGCCCCAAAATTTGTTGGCAAAGTCTAGGTGGGTAGTAGTTTTTATAAAATGATTGGAACCCATCTTTGGGCTTCTGAATCCATTTCTATCCAGCCTTAGTACTGTGCAATGAGAAAAATGTGCTTCTGGCAAAGGTGATGGGGGAAATGTAATCCCTTCACAGCCTGCAAAATAAAAAAAAACGCTTTCTCCCCTGATAATTGACTCTTGTAGACAAACCTGGATGTTTCACCTACTCTGCAGAATGAATCCAGTTTGACACCCCTATAACTGCCACGACTCAGTTCTAGGAAATCCTCAGAGTTGTAATTTTGTGAAGCACCAGCACTCTTTGGCATAGAAGGCTGGACCTCTGTAGTGGCCATGTCATGCAGTAGAAAGGGGTTTTTTGTGGCTGGGAAGCAGAGTCAACAATGGACATCATCTTCCTCCCAATGGCTTATCACATCACACAGTAAAAGTTCAAAGGTTCAAATTTTCCCATTTTAGCTATAACAGGTTTACCATGGGAGAACCTGTTTTAGGAGACATGTATGATAACGTCCTTACTATATCAGAACCACATATATAACTAAGGGTAGATCACCTTAATATGAAGAAACGGGAAGCTAAAACTACACTACTTATTTTTTTAAAAAAACTCTTAAAACTAAAAGGTAGGTACCACCACTCTGCAATCTGATTGTAGTCCAGCAACCGTGTGCTCTGTAAATCAATTCTCTTTGCCAGTCACAGTAAATAGTTCAATTTAAGAATGTGTTAGACTTGATGCTGTATTTTGGACTTGAAGATGACCAAAAGAAGTAATCAAACAGTCTCATTTGCATCAGCTACCATTCCAGAGAATGAAACATTATGACCAGGAGCAGCTGCAATTGGCAACTAGTTGTAGCTGAGAATACATGCTTGGAGTCATCAATGTCATTTGAGTTTCCAGTCACCACTGAAGCTGGATCTTTCACTATCTACAGAATGCAAGCCTCAACATTCATTTTGTGAAAATATATTTGTATAAACATTTTAGAATTACGTCCCCAGTCAGAAAAAATAATACCAAGATCACCTTCATCTTGTGGGATTTTATTTAATAAATCTTTGCTGTTTTTATTTTGTTCCTCATTGTCTGGATGTTTTAATTTGACAGGTAACAAGAAAAACTGGGCACATGTTACAACACTGAATCCAACAGCCACTCAGCTACTTGTCCTATATGTTAGTTATCTTGAGATCCACATACTAGATCTAAAAAGGGATCTTAATGGTAAACAAATAAAGTGAGTGTTGGAATTCTCAGAGTTGGAACAGAAGGGCAATCTGTATATGGGCTCCACCACAGAGAAGAAACACTGGAATACAGTGCTCTTAATGCTACATGTTTTCCTTGAACATATTTAAAAAATCCTAAAAGAGACATTGTGGTTTGCTAAAATATACTTAGAAAATCACTAGCATTCACTAACTGCATACCTATTACAGGGAAACACTACTTTTTCCACTCCACCTTCTTCCTCCTCTTCATATGTAATTACAACCTTGTCAAGGAACCATCCACTACCTGTAAATCAATGGCAAAAAGTATATGTTTCTGGCTAGAAGAAAACTTGATGTCTCGGTTAGAAATAAAATAATTTAGTCACATCGAACTCAGCTAATCAGAACCAAAAGATTAGCACACTTCCCTTGAGCAAAACCCATAATTAATCCTCTTAAAACATTGGAGCTTTTTTTTTATTCAAAAGCTTGAGACCATTAAATCTAAGAGAAGACATCTCGTTTAGTAGCATCTGTAAACAAATGAAGATCTTTCATTTGACCACTATTTCTAGGACCACATAATATATGGTTAAATAATTCAGTTTTTTTATCTTTTGGGAAAATAAGATCGTATTGTACAGTAAACACTGAAGGACAGTTAGGACACTATGAGTCATTGCTCTATTTTTAGAAACTAAAAAAAACTATTTTAATGAAACAAAACTGTGCAGACTTTTTATCTCGATGTCTTTGCACAAAAAATTATTTTGTTTCAAGGATATTAATCTTTTTGAGCAACTAACACTACATTATTTTCTGATTCTGTGCAGAATATAGTTGCATGACAATGACATTTGAATAGATAAATAACACAACTATCTCACAATTGTATTTGAATGTTGTATTTATTTTTAAAAACTACCTAGACAAATGAGCATTTTCACAAACATAACATTCCAATTTTTGAAATGGCCATTTAGCCCTTTATCAAACTGGCTAGCAAGACCAACAAATGGACTACCGCCCCCACCACCACCACCATCATCATATTTATACCCCACCTTTCTCCCCATAGGGACTCAAGGTGGCTGTCCCTCTACACTAAACAAGTTTAAAAAGTGTAATACAAAAGCTAAAAAACAATTAAATAATAGTGCAGTAAAAACAGAATTAAATTACAGCAAACACACTAAAATGGCCTTTAAAACTTATATTCCCCCCAGAGGATCTAAAGATGCTAGCTATAGATGCAGGAGAAATGTTAGGAAAAAAATGATACTAGAGCACGGCCATACAGCCCAAAAACCACACAACACTCCAAGGCATAGTAGACTTATTTGAATAAGGTAAAATTCTACTGGAATAAACCTATGCTAATATTCTACTTATCACAAAAGATGTTGTCTTCTTAAAATTAAAAATAACATTTCAGGATGTGAACCTTAAACCTGACATTTTGTCATGGCTGATGCATAAGTCCTTCTGTAAAGATAAAAAGTGCCAACACCTCAGGGGGCCATTTACCTCCAGCACACATCACCATCATCTTCTCACTCAGACATTCAAAAGGGCCTTTCATCATTCAGAGAAGGGAATGGTTCCTATCTATCTATTTGTCTATCTATCTGCATCAATAGGAGCATAGTGTCTAGATCTAAGGAAGTAATGCTACCCATCTATTCTGCTTTGGTTAGACCACATCTGGAATATTGTGTCCAATTCTGGGCTCTAGGATTGAACAACCTGTATCCAAGGCTGGAATGTGTCCAGAGGAGGGCGACTAAAATGATCAAGGGTCTGGAGAACAAGCCTATGAGGAGCGGCTTAGGGAACTGGGCATGTTTAGCCTGAAGAAGAGAAGGCTGAGAGGAGATATGATAGCCATGTATAAATATGTGAGAGGAAGCCACAGGGAGGAGGGAGCAAGCTTGTTTTCTGCTTCCTTGGAGACTAGGACGCGGAACAATGGCTTCAAACTACAAGAGAGGAGATGCCATCTGAACATGAGGAAGAACTTCCTGACTGTGAGAGCCGTTCAGCAGTGGAACTCTCTGCCCCGGAGTGTGGTGGAGGCTCCTTCTTTGGAAGCTTTTACAGAGGCTGGATGGCCATCTGTCAGGGGTGATTTGAATGCAATATTCCTGCTTCTTGGCAGAATGGGGTTGGACTGGATGGCCCATGAGGTCTCTTCCAACTCTTTGATTCTATGATTCTATGATTCTATCTATATGGAGTACAGTATAAACTCTTATGAATCTCCTTCTCTGAGCTGAGTAACAAAAGGCAAGATTCTAGTTCATTCGGAGAGAACCAAAAAGAAGCACTATACTCTTGGTGCTCTTACAAAAGGAAGCACCAAAAATTGCTACAAACACTGCCATTTTCCTTCCTGGGCATTCAAAAAGGCCACAAACAATACTGTGGCAGAGATCCGTGCTTCTCTTCAGTTTTTCTGAGATTGACTAAGTTCTTGCATTTCATCACTCTAATAAGGCCCCATCTACACTGCCATATAATTCTGTTTCTGAATGCAGATTAACTGCAATGAACTGGATTATATGACAGTGTAGATCCAGCCTAAGCAGGTGGTTCCATTTTAAATAGGAATTAAGATACAATATTTACATTGAGCCTTGGATAAGCTGACCCAGTCAAAATTGTATTGACATTTTGACTCAAATTTGAAGACTTGTTCTTGGGGATATCCATATGTACAATCAGTAAAAGCATTTAAAAATGACACAGTTAAAACATTGTAAATTTCCTCTCTAAAATAGTTTTAAAATTACAGGCATTTGACCAGGGTGCTGATGCAGAGAAAGCCCTGTCATATGCATCTACACTGCAGCTCTATGTTGAGGTGGAACACATAACAGGGCCTCTGCTGGGAATCTCAAATTTCAGAAAGGTTCATAAGGGAAAGATGATCTTGATCACCTATTGTGAGAGTACCACTTCACAATTAAAAACTGAGTCCAATTTACCACTGATGTAGAAGTCAAACTAAACACAACTAAATACAATGATTTGCTGTTTAGCACATGCAAATCATATACTAGGAATGTCAAAACATATTTTCAGATTTTCTCATCTTTAGCTACAAAGGGCATCTCCAAGGTGATCTGTCAACAAGAAATTAGCTTTACCTGGACCAGTTCCATCATGACTAATGAGAACTTTATTCAGAACCCCCAGTGATACAGCTGCCATGTAGAAGTTATCAGTCTGTAAAAACATAAATATGAGAGTAATGTGAATGGAAGGAAATGAATGCTCTCTGTAGGACTGATGGGAGTTATGAAAGACAGACTTTATTATAAAACATACACAGTACTTTATTAATTAAGCAAACCAATATTATGATTTAATATGCTGTTTTTGAAAAGTCATTGAAATGTATGATAACATTTTAAAATAAGCATTTTTGTATTTTAAGGTTGGTTTAACACTATGGCTTGAATAAATAGATTAATAAATAGGTTTTGCACAACATTTACCACTCAAATTTCACAACCTCCAACTGTCCCAAATGGGTAGGAATACTTGTGCTTAATCCACTGTCATCCTACATATTCAGCTATGTTTAACATGTCCCACTTTCTCCTTCTCTCTTCTCAACCTATCTCAAAATTGCCACAAACTGAGTTCAAAATACAACAGTAATTTGCTCTCAGTTAACTCAATAGGAGAGAAAGGAGACAACGATGTAAAATCTCCAAGCTCTCTGTCCATCTGCAGCAGTGATGGCAACACAAGCTTGATCTGCCCCGTTCTCTTGCACTGATGATGCATTCAAGAAATCTCATTGCTAATTTTAAAAGAATTGCTATATAGTCCTTGCCACTTAAGTCAAACTGGGAAAAGATCAACCCCATGGCAATAAATACCATAGAGGCCTGATCTGAATTAACCTTGGCCAAATACACTTGAATGCAGATTTACCTGACCACGTTGAAATTTGATTTTATTAAATCTTGACTTGTGAAGTTTTCGTTTTCCAGAATCTCCTCTGTTTCCATAGATGGTGATGTATATATTAGAATGTGTTTCTGCGCCAGGGTTTGATCCAGTGTATACAGCGATATCATACAGTACAACTGAAACGAACACAAAATATATTAATTTGGATCAGCCCTGTGTAGCATTTATCTGACTGTTTTGTCCACTGACTTAGCCACTCAGTGTAGATGTGCCCTAAAAGTAACTATTTGATTTTTGAATAAATTTATAAGTAAACAGTTACTTTAAATGACAGAAGATTGGAAGCAAAGAGCCCTCAGAAAAAGCCAAGCCTTTTCATCTGTTGCAGAACAGATAAAATAATCAATTTGTGCAAAATCTAATAAAAATATGTTTTTTATAGAATATTCTGAATGGGTTTTATTTGGAAGACTGTTAAGTACCAAGATAATAGAAGGCAAGAAGGGCTGAAAAGATAAGCAATTAATCATGCCTACTGAGGGAGACTGTTACAGCAGAGCTATGCAGGCCACATGCTACCCACCTGCAATATTTCCTCTGTCTGGGCTTCACATTGGATTTGGCCCTTATTGTAACGTTGACAATCCATTTCTTTTTACACAGAAACAAGCCCACATGAGTCCAGCAAGGATCACTATGTGAATAGAGGTATACATCTTTTTCATCAGTGGTATATATGTGTGTGTGTGTGTGCGTGCATTGTTGGTGCATGACTTTAAAATGGCAAATTGAAATTTCCTTTTAAAAATAGTCTTTATGTATGAGGAGAAATCCAAATTGGAGAAGCATTTGTATACTTGTGTGTAGACATGAAAGAGAACTTCAGATGCACAGCTGAGCTCTTAAGCCACTATGCTATATATTTTTTATTTCAGGGTAAAAACTACCAACTTGAGGTATCGCCCCAAATGTCCTATCTCAGACATATGATTGGACTGGACCTGACAATGGTTCCTAGATGATAATATGTGGTAAACAAGTTCAGTCACAACCTGTAAAAAGCTGATTAAAAGCTTTCTACAACAAAATCTGGCTACTAGAATTTAAAAACTCTAAAGTTATAACTGTAAATAAAGAACAACACTCAAACACAGGGGAACTCCAGACAAGAAACAATCAGGGACAGCTAATCACCTCTCAACAAAGGATTCCCCCCAGGCAGTAACAAGCCACACCTAAAAACTGTCAAGAGTTCTTTCTCCCACCCTGGACTTTCCACAGATATATAAAGCTAATTTTCCTAGTTTCCAACAGATCTCACAACTTCTGAGGATGCCTGCTATAGATGCAGGCAAAACATCAGGAGAGCGTGCTTCTAGAACATGGCCATACAGCCCCCAAAAACTACAACAACTCAGTGTATAAAAGCTTTTTTTTAAAAAAAGAAAAATGCATATGACATTGAGATTCCAGATCTTTACCTCTCAGTTCTGTTTGCTCTGGCAAGATTCATTTAACAACAGATGTCATGTTGGAGTCAATTATAAAATACACAATTCATTAATAAAGAGGTGTTGTGTAAGAAACATTTACTCTTTATATTCCCTACTTCACTCAAGAGGTTTTGTTTTCTGACTGACTATGGTGCCCAGTCTGGCAACTATGTTGCGAGGCTCTGATTTTAAGTGTTTTATGTTATGATTACTTCATATTTTGTACTTTAGTAACTGTTTTATCATTTCTATTTTTTTTTCATTACCATGAAATTACAGTGAATCAGAAAGTAATTTTATCATTGTTTTTAGTGGTTTTGGCATCACACAAACCCTGCATTTTTATCTAAAATTTCTAGACTTACATATGAGTATATTTGGAAATAACACCTGATCATGCTTATCAGTTCAAAGGGGGGGGGGATCATGCCTCTATCACCACCATCATTAGGGAGATTGGTTCTCTTCTTCTTCAACAGGTTAGCAACACGAGATACCAGCATTTGATCCAGAGAGCAAAGGGTTTGGTTCCCCGAGCCCCAGCATAATGTGACAAATAATGTCATATTAATAATGATATTAATAATGATAATCTTTACCTGTAGTCTACATACCAAAGCAAACACTTTCTAAGATGCCCCCATCGAAGGCCTGGCTTGCCCTCACAAGAACAGTGTAATTTTCATCCACTTTCTAAGATGTCCTATCCAGGGCTTGGCTTTCCCTTTCAAGAAGGACCACCTATGGGAATGCCCCTCCACCATGTGCCAAAACGGGCGGCGAGTGATGGTTTCTTTCATACATGCTTTCCAGTTGGTACTACGGATCTAGCACGTGGTTGGAGCTCTGAACTTGATCACTTCTCCATGTTCAAAGCTCTTCCCTTTTGCCACGATTGCTCTCCAGTTCAACAATGAGGGCCCTTGTGCCTCCCCATCATTGGACTGGAGTGAAAGTGTCCTACAATGGGAAATCTGTCTATCTGATGAGGTTGCTGGTCCAACTGGGCTGTGTAAACACAGATTCATTTGCTTTGACAATGAACAACATCATGCTACACTCACAGTTACACGGAGGAGGTCCATTCATGCTTTCTGCAAAATATATGGAAGCCAAGGGCATAAGGCACACAAATTAATTGAATATGTTCTGAAAGTGTGAATACAAGTCACATCTCAGAGTGCACTTTCATTTGACAATGTTGAAGCATGCTGTTTTCCCTAGGGTTTATGGGGTGGGCAGGGACTGACTATCAAATCTCATGAGTCTTTATATTAATTTAAATGCTCAAAGGATTGAGGCATCTCTTTTTACCCCTTGATTCCAAGTGCTTCTCTTGTAAAGCTCCGAATCTTGCCAAAGCTACTATCTATCAGTACAGGAGAAAAAATACTATAATAATTTTAATTGCCTACATATTTTTCATAATGTAGCAGTAATACATAGCAATATGTGAGCTATTACAATCCTCCTTCAGGGCCTGATTCTCTGCTCTTCTGTAGCAGTTTGAAGCCAGTGTACCTTGCATTCAGTGACATTATAACAGCATCAAATTGCAATGAAAAAGAATTGTGATATCTTCCATCAAATGAGAAATAATAAAGGAAAATTAACTTTCCAGGATAAAACCGAAGTCTGAAGATATTACGTTGGCATGTAGAAGCTCTCTTGTAAGATGATAAATAGACACTTGCAAGCATCTATGTTCATGGAAAAGAAATGAACAGAAAAAAAACTCCAAGAAACAGGGTTAACTACTGTTTGCAGATACTTAAGCAAAGGATACTGGGTGTAAGGTTGTTCTTTTGGAAAACATGTGAGCAAAATTTCATGTAATGAATGGGGAACATTTTTTTGTATATTATGCAGGAATAGAACCACCTTAGTCTTAGACAAAATATCAGAAAAGTATTGTTAACCTCCTTGATAATAGTAATAATAATAATAATAATAATAATAATACTTTAGTTTTGTACCCCTCCTCCATCTCCCCAAAGGGACTTGGGGTGGCTTACATATGGCACAATGTGCCTAAAACACTCATAAAATCAACACACAATACAATACAAGATAAAAAATAATAGCATATAAAACAATGATTTAAGCTCATAAAAAAACCAGCACCCAATAACCTATGGTAAGAACTGTCATAAAACATGGCGATAGTGCAAGTGGTAGTTAATGAACTAGAGCATGGGATGAAAGTGCAGTGCTCTGTCATTAATTGCAGACCATTGGGGCTAGACATTCTCAAAGGCTTGTCCAAACATCCAAGTCTTCAATTCCTTCCAGAAGGAGGACAGTGTAGGGCCTGTCTAATCTTCCTAGGGAGAGTGTTCCAAAGCCAGGGGGCCACCACTGAGAAGGCCCTCTCCCTCATCCCCACCAACCATGCTTGTGACAATGGCGGGACCACAAAGAGGTCCTACCCATCAGACCTTAACACTCGCGCAGGAACATGGGGGTGGGGGGGGGATGCGGTCACAAAGATAGGCAGAGCCCAAACCATTTAGAGCTTTCTAGGTGATGACCTGCACTTTGAATTGGGACCGGAAACTTATCGGTAACCAGTGGAGCTGTTTTAATTGGGGCGTCGTCTGCTGCCTATAATTAGCTCCAGTTAGCAACCTGGCTGTCGACTTTTGCACCAGTTGCAGTTTCTGGGAGTCTCATTATTGTGAGAAAGGATGGATAAAATGAGTAAAATAATAATAATAATAATAATAATAATAATAATAATAATATGTAATGTAATATATTTATTTCCTCTTATGAGTCAATCTTTATGCTTTGCTTTTTGAAGTTTTCACTCAAGGCAGAGGGAACAACAACTATTTGCTGTGTTCCCAAGGTGGCCTTGCATGGTCCATAAACATGGCACCAAATTTAATTTTTCTTTTGCCACTGGAAGAGACTACTCGAAATAGAAAGCAACTGGAATTTCATCTGAAAGACTATCAAGCATTTCAATAGCATTGCTTCCCATGGATACCTAGATGTTGCTTGACTTGGATTCTCAGAATCCTTGATAAACGATCATGAACTTTGGGACCTGGATTGTAGTACCTGAGCTATACAGCATTGACATTTCCCCCCCATTCTATCTTTAATTAAATTTCAACTGCTTTACTAGTGCAGCCACTCAGATTTAACCTGCAAACTGAAACTTAGTATATTTTTTATATTGGTTATGTCTGCTGTCATATATTGTATTTTTTATAATTACAGTGGCTGGTGATTTGATGCAAAAAATCAGCTTTACTTTACTTGATTCAGCCTTAAAACAGAAACTTCCACAGTAGCAATTATTGCTGAGATGGAAAAGGTTGGTTTGCCTATGTTACGTTATTTTTTTCAGAATGCTGAAGCCTTTAAAATACATCCAGTTAAGACTTGGTTGCACAAGCATTTGGGTGTTACTGAAACTGACCTTTCTTCCCTTCATCCAGTATGCCTGTCAGTTGGAGATTTATTTTCTTTTTTTAAAAATAAAACTTTTAACATTTTCACCAACCAAATGCCAACAGAATAACCTTGCAAAAATTTTCCTAAGATATTTGACATCATGCTGGTGTTTCTTGGTAGTTTCCATCATAAATAGTTACTTGTTCTCCAATGTAACAGTTCTATTCAGGACTATGTCCTATGAGGCATGATTAACAAGGACACATATAAAGTGAGAA